TATTGTATTTCTGATGTTATCTATTTTATCAGTGAAGAAATTCATAAATTCATTACTATTAAACTGTGAGGGAATATTTAGATCGGGTGGCGTCTGGTTATTTGTTAATCTAGCCACTGTGCTAAATAAAAACCTTGGATTGTTTTGGTTATTTTCTATTAGTTTGCAGATATGCTCAGCCTTGGCAGCTTTTTAAGCCTGTCTATAGCTGGACATAGTGTTTTTCCATGCAATTCTAAAAACTTCCAAGTTAGTTTTTCTCCATTTGCGCTCAAAATTACGAGTTTCTTTCTTGAGAGAATGGGTATTGCTGTTGTACCATGGCGCAGTACTTTTTTCTCTAACCTTTTTTAATTTGATGGGGGCAACAACTTCTAATGTGTTACAGAAAATAGTGCCCATATCGCTAGTCATTTCTTCTAGTTAATGTGTATTTATGGGTACACAGAGCAGTTGAGATAAATCAGGCAGGTTATTCGTGAATCTATCTTTGGTGGTTGGAACAATGGTTCTACCTGGACGTTAACGTGGAGCCATATAGTTAATATCAGTAATACATATCATGCACGATACAAGGTAGTGGTCAGTAATATCATCACTTTGAGGTAAAATCCCTATATCAGCAAGATCAACTCCATGCAATATAATTAAATCTAGCATATGATTAAAATGATGAGTGGGCCTGGTGACATTTTGCTTGACTTCAAAAGAGTTTAATAAGTCTGTGAATGTAAGTCCTAACGCATCATTTGTATTATCAATGTGAATGTTAAAGTCTCAGATGATTAGCGCTTTATCAACATTAACTAGGGTGACCATACGGGCCATTTTTACGGGACGCGTCCTTGCCAGGATTTCTATATTGCCTAAAATATCCAGGTTTTGGCTGTTTTGTGCAGATCGATCGTTGTATGCAGGGTGCGAACTACGGGGGAGCTAGGGGGAGCTCGGCTCCCCTTAATAAGACATGGGCTCGCCTGAAAACGGGATTTGTGAAATTTTTGGGGGTCTCAAAAAATATTGACAATGTGTTATTTTGACGTGCAATTTCAGTTTTGTGTAATGTGATCATCGTGGATTATTATGTGTAAAATTGCAAAAATATCATTCATTCATGCATGACGGCGATTTAAACCTAATTCACTTCAATAAAGATAACTATACATGCTATTCTTGTCATGAGCATCAAGGTGTGGGGGCGCTGCGGTGCAAATTCCACTCATGTTTAGTACATGTTAACTCAAAGATCCGTAGAAAAAATATAAACGCTGGACTCTGTGGTCGATTCTGTGTTAAGGTAAGGCATGAAATTCGCAATTATGTGTTGTGGCTGGGTTGTTAAAGGTCTGCGTGACTCTCGATGTCTTAGGCCTAATTGAACGGAGGAATTATGGTATTCTTCTGTAGCCTGACAACGAGTAACTTTAACCGTTGTTCATGTGAACTCAAAGACAGCCCGATGCTTTGTTTATAGACTATTTGTGGGTGGCTGTTTGTTGTTTCACCTATCAATTCATGTCGATAAAGTATAATAGGGTAAATCCTGTATAGTGATTTATCCTATATAGTGCTATATAGTGCTTGCATAAAGCAAGTAGTGCATACAAAGATACATAACAGCTAAGTTACAAGTGTAAGTCATTGTAAGCCCTCTTTTGAGGCACGCGCACGAACACCCCGCCCCCCGACTGTAATGGCTGCTGAAAATTCCGATGCATCACAGGAATAAATGACATTTTAAACATATTACAATAGAAATTTATTAATAGAAATTATTCAAATATATTACAATTTTAATTATATTCCACAATATTACAGTTTAATTGTATTTTTAATCAAATAAAAGCAACTTTAGTGAGCATAAGAGACTTCTTTCAAAAACATTTTTAAAAAAAATCTTGCTGACCCCAAACTTTTGAACAGTAATGTATGTTCGCACAATGGAGAAAAAAAAAAAAGTGTATAAACAATTTTCTCTCAGAAATTGTAAGAAACTGCAAGTAACACATTGAATTAGTATTATATATATATATATATATATATATATACACATATACATATACATACACACCTTGCTACGTGTACTGCGTTAGGCTAACCGAGACTTGTCATTTGCACTTATATATTGTTGCTCTTTTGTTAGTTTTGACTGCTTTTATTGTCCTCATTTGTAAGTCGCTTTGGATAAAAGCATCTGCTAAATGACTAAATGTAAATGTAAGTTGTATTAAAAATATTTTATGGCATAACACCCATATCTGGTAGGCTACTTAAGTAAAAAGTCGAGTTTTTATGTCTAGTTAATAAATTACACTATTAGTCTACTTTGCCCATCACCATTTATTGATCAAATAACAATCTATAAAGGTGCAAAACGCATTTACTTAGGCTACATGCTTATAACAGTAGCTTAGTCTAATAAACTCATTTAGACCAAAATACAGTAGTCATTTGGTTTGAGCCAGGTTTCAGTGAAGCTAAGCAGAGTACATCAAAACTATTATCTGTGATAATTTCATTTACAATAACTGCTTTGGGTGCGAGTGATGTAAGGTTTAGGAGCCCAAGCTTTAAAAATTGGTTTTGTTCATTTATTTTGCATTTTTCCGGTTTAATCATAAAAACTTACAAAAATGTACATTTTGTGCTTGTAAACGTTACATACTAATCCGTACATATAAACAATTACACCAGGCTGCATGTATAATAAGGCCTAATCAGTGTATTGCTAAATACACAACAGCAAATAATGGTTTCAGCAAATAATGAGGGTGAATCTGCAACCTGCCAAGAACTTGTCTAGGTTATATTTAACTTACAAAAAAAACAAAAAACACTTGACATGAAAATTTTCAGAAATGTTAATTCTGAACCCATTAATTCTGAACAAAATGTTACTTGTTTGAGTGATGCTTTGTTCTCTGTCCATGTTTGGGGAAGCATGCAAGAGGTAAACTGGCAGTGGCCTGGAGTATGTCAGTTGTCATAGAGATCTCCTTGGCAACTACAGATCAACCAGAGCAACTCTGCCACCCCCTCCCCACTTTTTGGAGTTGAACAGGGGTTTGGGGGGATATTCTTGGTGAACAGTGAGATTGAGTGGGCCTCTAATCCCTGTGTATACAGAACTGACTTGGCACCAAGCTGAAACACTCAGACTGATATGCAGACGTTTTCTTGTAATGTACAATAAAAATATTTATTTTAGTAAACATATTGAAATCTTTTTTTGGTCTCTTTTATGTTGATCTGTCCCTCCTTTGTCTTTTAACATCTAAATTCACTACAGAATGTTTCAGCACTGAAAAAATGTGTGTGTGTAGTCTATGCTTTTGTAACCACGTGTCTCCTCATTAACTTTGCATGACTTAACACTTAGCTAATACTTCATTATGAGCTTCCATAACATGTTATAAAGAGTCAAACAAACATTTTCTTATATGCTGTTCATTGATTTTTCATTGATTGACTTCCACACCCACATTCACCTCGCTGTATCACCCTTATGTGTTTGTGTTAGGTGCTGTGGGACAGCCAGAATGGACTGAGTTCTTTCCTGACTGTGGTGGTTCTAGTCAGTCACCCATAAATGTGGACACATTGCAAACACTGTATGATCCAACGCTAATCCCCGTGCAGCCCCTGGGATACAACCATTATGGGAAGAGGCCATTCACCCTCTACAATAATGGCCATACAGGTAAATTTGTCTTTTGTTACCCATTCAAAATGGTCTCAGACTTAGACACAGACAGAAACTATGAAACTCTGCCATCCAGTACTTTTCACAATACACATGGTTTCAAGCAGCTTCATATAATATTTTTATGTTTATAATATCGTTATGCCTCATAGTTGCAATTTAGCAAATTCAAGCTATTTTGCAACTATAAGGTATGAAGATATTAAGATTTAGAAAATAAACTTTAGATAAAGTGGCCTGAAAAAGTATTTGGATGCTTAAGTCACACTTAAAAATTCACAAATGTCTTTGCATATTGCAATGACATTTATACGTTTGAGTGTGACTAAAGTCTATGTCACTGTGCATAAAACTGTGTGACAGCGAAATACTGTTTGCTAAATATGACCCTTTCCTCTTAAACCTCCCACTTGTTTTCTCACACAGTGCAGATGACATTGCCACATTGGATGAGCGTGGTTGGGTTGCCATGGCATTATAGTGCTGTACAGCTACACCTGCACTGGGGTAGTGAAGTGGGAGTGGCTACAGGAAGTGAACACACCATTAATGGACAGAGCACTGCAGCAGAGGTGTGTGCTTGTGTTGTGGCATGCATAATGCAATGTTTTTAGTCATTTTTGCAGATTTGTGTGAACAGGGATAATTTTGACAATATTATTGTCTGTATGTGAAACTTTTCGAAAAAGCAAATGAAATCACATTTTTGTATAGTACAATCATTATTGTATAAACTTACCCCGAGAAGCATTGCTTTAAGGCCTAGAGATGAAGTCAGGAGCCTCACAGGTGCTGATTCCAATGTTTCAAATGGAGACCTAGTGAGCTCTTCCAAGACAGGATAAGTCCCAGGAAGGAACAGAAATGGAACAGAAAGGTCTCAATAGTCTCGCACCACGCATAACATGTAAGACAAGTGAATGCCTCCCCAGAGAAACACTTTCAACTAGAATGTGCTCAGTAGCAATTGCTGTCAATAAAAAAGTAAACAGGGCAATGCCTGCAGAAAAACACTCCTGAGGGAACTCCAGTACTGAACCAACAGTACAGTGGGTCTAATTTGCAAATCTAGCACCAGAACTCATATAGCTTCTATTTGAGAGCATATAACCTCCCATTGGAGGGTAGTACAATCGACGCAATCCAAGATGGGTATAGACCCCATCCTTTTTTGGCACCTGTAAGTGCCAGCTGTAAAAGCCAGACTCTTTTTGAGAAGGAGACAGATCTTTTATGGCTATTCTCTTAAAGGTAAAATAATTTCTTTAGCTCAAAACGGTAGCTTCTTGAATGCCAAAATCATATTTTATGGTTTGAAGAACCTAGTCTTCATGCTGCAAGATGGATAGAGAGGCATCAGGTGCTCTGTAGCTGACAACGGTTAGTTGGCCACTTGAGCCTAAATGAGAAGGCATGGCCACTTGTGTTGTGGGGAGAGTGCCTACAGTTTCTCCAATTGCGACATGAGATATGAGAGGTATAATGTTGTGCAGGGGGAATCTATTCTACAGGAAGAATAATCAAACTTGGTAAAAGAGAACGAGCATGAACCATGGGGCACCACTCATTGTGACCATATTGTCACGGATTTGTGACACAAGGCACAACTGAACTCTGAAAGCCTGACCCCCCCACCCCGCCCCAGTTCTCCCAATCTATGCACTCCTAATCACAGATAACTTAATAGAGCATCGGCCGGATAAAATGTCCACCTAAAGAAAACTGATCTGAGGAATGAAGGTGTCACAATTCGCTGGAGAACGGGCACGAGGAGACGTGGAGATTTCACAGAACGAGAGTCATTTAATGATCCAATAAGGAGACACAGAGCACAAGTATGATGTTCACAACAAGTAGACCCGGCAGAGGAGAAATGCACAGACAAGAACTTATAAACACAGGACAATTACCAAACACAGGTGCACAGAATGACTAATTAACTAAACGAGGACAGGAACATGACCAAATAAGGGAACACAGGAACAGAAACAGGGGCAAAACATAAGAAAACAGGTCCATGATCCTGACATATCGCCCCCCTCCCGGAAGGCCGTAGAACAACAGAGGAGGGGCACGGGTGGGAACTTGGGAGGCGGCTCAGGAGGAGGAAGGACACCCGGGAGGGGGCCGGCAGACAGAGACCAGGGAGGTGACGATGGAGGGAGGAGCCAGGAAGGAAACAGGAAGAACTTGGAGCAGGAGGAGCCAAGCAGGACCCAGGCCAGAGGAGCCCAAGGCGGAGACGGAGAGCCAACGAGCCAGGGGGATGCCGAGGATCCGGGGGGCCAGGGTGAAGCCGAGGGCTCTGGCGTATGAGGCGGAGATCCGGAGATCCGCGGTGGAGCCGGAGCGACTGAGGACCAAGGCGGAGCTGGCGGGAGGGAGGAGCCCAATGGAGCTGGTGCTACGGAGCGACGAGGTGCAGCCGGAGGTGCGGAGTTCTGAGGCGATGGCGGGTCGACCCCGACCAAGGCGGAGCCGGACGGACGAGGGGAGCCCGGTTGAGCTGGTGGATCAACGGGTGACGGTGGAAGCGAGGGAGCTAGGAGCCGAGGTGGAGCCGCTGGGTCTACGGGCCGAGGCGGAGTCCGGGCCTCGGAGGCTGGAGGCGGAGATGAGGGATTCTCCAGCCATGGCGACGATGGAGGATGGCAGACCCACGGGGCTCGCACCAAGTCGACCTCCAGATCTGTTTCCCAGTCTATCAGGTCCCCTTCTAAGTCCAGCAGTCCCAGATGTATAATTAGCTCACCCTCAGCCGCGGGCAGTGCAGTGGGCGGAGCTCCACTCCGCGCTCTTACCGTCCATGGCTTGCTCCCTTGCGGTGGGCACTGTCACTGGTTCTCGCACCTGGTCTGACGGGTGGGGCTCCTCATCCGGGGAGATCCTCCGCTCAGTCGCTCGGCATTGCGCTGGCTCATTGATCGCGGCGGTGATGGGCTCTCTGTCATCGGTGGGCTCGGGCTGATGCTCTGCACCGCGGGGGG